AGGGTTGGAAAGGATTATCTAGTTCTAAAACCCCTGCTATGGGCAGGGACACTTCACACTAAACCGTGTCACCCAAGGATCTGTCCAACCTGGCCTTGAACACTCCGAGGGATGGAGCATTCACAACCTCCCTGGGCAACCCATTTCAGTGCCGCACCACCCTAACAGGAAAGAACTTCCTCCTTATATCCAATCTAAACTTCCCCTGTTTAAATTTTAACCTGTTACCCCTTGTCCTGTCACTATAGTCCCTAATGAAGAGCTCCTCCCCAGCATCCCTATAGGCCCCCTTCAAATACTGAAAGGCTGCTATGAGGTCTCCACGCAGCTTCTCTTCTCCAGGCTGAACAGCCCCAACTTTCTCAACCTATCTTCATATGGGAGGTGCTCCAGTCCCCTGATCATACTCGTGGCCCTCCTCTGGACTTGTTCCAACAGATCCATGTCCTTTTTATGTTGAGGACACCAGAACTGTACACAATACTCCAAGTAAGCTCTCACAAGAGCAGAGGGGCAGGATCACCTCCTTCAACCAGCTGGTCACGCTACTTTTGATGCAGCCCAGGATATAGTTGGCTTTCTGGGCTGCTAGCACACACTGCCAGCTCATGTTCATTTTCTCATAGACCGATACCCCCAAGTCCTTCTCCGCAGGGCTGCTCTAAATCTCTTCTCTGCCCAAGCTGTTTGCATGGTTAAACTTCAAAAGGTTGGCATCTCCCAACCACACAAGTGTGTCAAGGACCCTCTGGATGGCATTCCTTCCCTCCAGCATATCAACTGACCCACAGAGCTTGGTGTCATTGGCAAACTTGCTGAGGGCACACTCAATCCCACTGTCCATGTCACCAACAACAATGTTGAACAAGACCAGTCCCAACACTGATCCCTAAGGGACACCACTCGTTGCTGGTCTCCAGCCAGACATTGAGCCAGTAACCATGACTCTTTGCTTGCAGCCATCCAGCCAGTTCTTTATCCACTGAGTGGTCCATCCATCAAATTGATATCTTTCCAATTTAGAGACAAGGATGTCATGTGGGATAGTGTTGAACGCTTTGCACAAGTCCAGGTTGATGATGTCAACTGCTCTATCCCTGTCCATCAGTTCCATAGCCCCATCATAGAAGGCCACCGAATTGGTCAGGCAGGATTTGCCCTTAATGCAGCCATGCTGGCTGTCACGAAGCACCTTGTTGTTTTTCATGTGCCTTAGCATGCCTTCCAGGAAAATCTGCTCCAAGATTTTGCCAGGCACAGCGATGAGATTGACTGGTCTGCAGTTCCCTAGGTCATTCAATTTCCCCTTCTTGAAAATGGGGTTATATTAACCTTTTTCCCTTTTTCCTTTTTTATATCATCTTTTTCCCTTTTAAGTTGCTGGATAGTTTTGAGCAGGGCTCTGTAGGTGTAGGCCAAACCCTAGCACACTGCCATGATTTGTCCCTCTCTGGTATGACTAGGATGACAACACAGCTCATTTGAATGTTTTACTAGTGTTTCTGGATTTTGCACTTGTTCACTGGTGAAGTTCCAAAGCACTGGAGGGGTCCACTGGCCTAGATACTTGCTCATACTATCCCCCACACCCTGCCACTCATGAATTTCCAGCCTCGGGGAAAATCTCTTGGTCCTCCTATATCGTCATGTAACCCTAGACAAGACCCAAACCCAATTTTGCTTTACTTTTGAGATCAGACAAAATGGCTGTGGTCAAAACACACTCTGTAATGTTTGCTGACACGGTGATCCCCATCACAATCAGACAGGTCTCAAGGATACCCAAAGGCTGTTCAAAACCTTCAGAACTCTCAAATGAGGATGTAAATAGTCTGGTGGGGGTGCTGGGAAGGTAAGGGAATATCTCCTTCATAGGTTTACCACCTGAGGAGGGGAAAAAATGTGTAACTGCTAAACACTTTCATTATATGACCAGACTGGGAACGCAAGCCAGGTCAGTTTCATAATCAATGAGTCTACTTTATTACAAGTCATTACCACAAAGTACAGCGAAACAAGAACCTTAGCCCAGGCCCTCCAGCTGATAAACATTAAAACAGCAAATACCATCTGTAAGTAAGGTACAACATGCTGAAACTCCAAGATCAAGAGCAACAACTTTGAGAGCCAATAAATCAGCATTGTGACAAATGACTACTAATCTTTAGTACTAATCAAACACAATTAGACACACTCTGGTCAGATCTGTCTTTATCTTACCAATAATAATAATGATAAGAGAAATAACAAGGGAAGAGAATATAACCGCTCACCACCTGCCAACCAACTCCCAGCCTGACCTGACCAGTGATCTAGCCCTTCCGGGTAACTCCCCCCTTTTTAAATACTGGGCATGACATGCTTTGGTATGGAATATCCCTTCGTCTAGTTTGGATCAGGTGTCCTGTCTCTGCTTCCTCCTGGCTTCCCCTCCTCCCTGACTCAGAAAGTCCTTGGTTGGAGTTATCATTACTTAGCAACAACTAAAAACATTGATCTTATCAGCGTTGTTCCCATCCTGAAAGTCAAAACCACAGCACTGCACCAGCTACTAAGAAGGAGAAAACTTACTGTAACTGCTGAACCCAGGACTGTATCTTATCTGTTTTTTCCCTTGCTCTAGGTCCAACTCCTCTGAATTGTAAGATGCAATTCACTCAGGGCTACAGGGCAGGCTGAGAAAAAGCTCCATTGGACCCCATGTCATAGAAGGCATAAACCTGCTCTCTACAAAACTGTAAGGTGTCTTTTCATGTTCAGCCACCTTTGAGCAGGAGTTGTTTGTTTTTCCAGAAGAAAAGGTAGAAGTGTAGAAAGGCCCTAGAAAGGCCCTGTCCTGGCTGCTGAGAACAGAAAAGGGTCCTTTTAGATGCCCAAACACCTGGACCCCTCTCTGGGGTCTGTGGGACCAGGGTAGAGTTTGCTCCTTGGGCAAATTTGCATTTGCTGTTTCTTGATGCTATCACACCATCTGTGAGCAGTGGAGGCCTGTTCCAGTCCAAGGAAGAGGACACACATCTCCTTTTACTGCAAATGTCTCTTACCACAGTTGTGCACAAGTCTGGCTGTACAAGAAATTCTCTAATACATGGAAACATTAACATGCAAGTAGGTGCAAGACAGCACTAAGCAGCTCTCAGAGCCTCTAATTTAATGTGATGAACCAAAAGATTTCACAGCTAGAGGTTGGGCGGAGAAGTGATTCAGAGCAGCCCTGCGGAGAAGGACTTAGGTGTGTTGGTTTATGAGAAACTGAACATGAGTGGCAGCATGAGCTCTCAGCCCAGAAAGCCAACTGTATTCTGAGCTGCATCAAAAGGAGCGTGACCAGCAGGTTGAAGGAGGTGATTCTTCCCCTCTACTCTGCTCTTGTGAGACCCCACTTGGAGTACTATGTGCAGTTCTGGTGTTCTCAACATAAGAAAGACTGTTGGAGCAAGTCCAGAGGAGGGCTGTGTAGGAGTTAAGTGAACAATAAAATGTCCTCTGCTGAAGGTACTGTTAAGAATCCTTATTTGCTAGACTTTCAATAATTAAAATCTGCCCAAATAAATTATTCCCTGACGTCCTAAGTTAATTATGTAAAAAAGATATTATTGTTGGTGACTCCCTTGTTTTGATGATGATATTGAGTCTGACACCTAAAAGCCACTCTTCAAGAAGAATTTGAGCATGCAAGGAATAAGCATCGCAACAGCATTACCTTGCTTTTTGTTAATAAGTACCAGCCCTTCTACAATGCTTTTCTATCACTGGTTTAGGAGTTTAAAAATCAACAATGAAAATCTTTACCTGTATTTTAAAAATAAGGAAACTGAGGCACAAAAAGAAACAACTTATCTAAAGCCTCCCAGCAAGCCAGTGGCAGAATAAGGAGTAGAACTCATTTCTGCATTAATGCTTTCAGGTCCAAAGAAAATCAAAGGATGAATAGGAATGAAAGGGAACACAAGTCAGTGGCTCTGCCTTAGAAACTATCCTGTATTCTCATAGGTTGTGACTTCTCAAGCAGACTGTGTATTCTGGCAAGGCAATCTGAAGAGAGTTGCACCAGTTCTGTAGTATCACCACAGAAAAGAGCTGCAGAACATGCCAGTAGGAAGAAAACTTTAATTATAAAACTTTTCTAAAGGCAGAAGAGGCTAGGCTAGGCCAGGAAAAAAAAAAACACCAACAAACAGAAAAACAACAAAAAAAACCCTACCACCAAAAACCACAACAAAAACACCCCCACAAAACGCCAAACCCATAAAATTAGATTTCAAGCAACTTCCTGCTCAAGAATCTAATAGGAACAGTATCTTAGATTCATCTATCCTGTCTACAGTTCTGAGTGTGTGGATGTTATGGATGTATTTGTAAGCCAGCCCTGCAGTGATTTAAAGAATTGTGTTACAGATTGGTACTATATATCTTTAAAAAAATTTAAATGTGGGACAAAACTTTCACAAAATCCTCCATTGCTTAGAATAATTAATGTAGATATATAAAAGTTTTGCCCAAAGGCATACTCAGTAGCAGAGCTGGCTGTCAAAGTCAACAGAGTTGTTCTGGGGTTGTTTTACTACACTTCTATTACAAGCTTCCATTCTGCAGTCCACATTTTGTATTCTCCTTTTAATTTATTTATCTAGGAGAAAAACAAGCTTTTCCTGAAGAACTTTTTATTTTATATTCCTCTTCAAGATATTCAGAGGATTTGCTTCCTGGGAAACCATGGAGCCATCATTTTGTAAAGGCTATTTGATCATTTGTTCACTAATACAGGTCTGCTGAATCAAAGCAACTGGTTGACAAACAGAGGCTCCACTCTAATACAAGTAAATCCAAACAAGTCATAAAACTTCTACAAACATGTGAAGGAAAAACACCTAAGTGGAAGACAAGATGCTGACCTCATCCAACTCCTGCTGAAGCTAGGGGAGCAGCACTGCCTATCACTGCACAGGCACTGAGCCTAGCACAGGCCTGTCTTTTTCTAGAGATAAGTTGACTTTTTTTTTTGATGGGCAAGAACAAACCAGAAACCACTGGCGACAACATTTCATCTTCTGTAATATGCCTGAGGCTCACTGTACAAATAAGCTTTCCATTTTCATCTTCCTAATGCTATTTTTAGAACATACTGGCAGCACCAGATGTCTCTTTCAAAGGCTGGACTCTTCAGAGCTGTAGTTAAGATTTATAACCATGTGCTTGCTGGCCACGGATGTTGAAGATGACAGGTTTGTGGGAAAAGCCCCCATTATTAAGATGACATTGATAAAAAAACTGTTTAGAATAGTTACTCACAGCATCTTGAGTATTTCAACATAACAGCCAAGGATCCTGTCTGCCTGGGCACTCAGCTCAATGCTCATGGTGCTGCAGGTAGGACTGACCATCAAGCAGTCAATCAGGTTGGGCTCACTGTCATTGCCAACATTGGCTATCATCTTCTGATTGGCTGTGTTGTTGTACTCCACTTCCACGTGAATTTCATTTGAAGTGACAATAACTGGTTTGAGACAGGATTCAGTCAAAATGGCCTCTTGAGAGACCAGGTCAGGATTTGTTTGAAGAAGGCAGAGTGGCAGATTAGGCTTTCGGTCACATTGCTGCTGGCAGCCATTCCTGATTTCCTTCAGGCTTGGTGAATTGTCTTGACTGTATTTAAAATATAAACAAATAATTTCAATAGACAGACATAGCAGCAGAGAGCAGGAGAGAGAGTTCAACACTGAGAAGCCAAGATCTTTTGCAATTTCCCACTGCATTTCACCCCAGACCACTGAATTGCTTTCTTCCATGTAATTGAATTACTGAAATAAATTAAAAATATTAAAAGGCTCCAATAGGACTGTTCTGCAGCCCCTGTTCTACAAAGATTCAAGCTTTTCATTACTCTAATTGACATGCCAGTTTAGTATAAAGGTGAACTTTCCCATCCAAATTGTGCAAAGCTGTAACAGAATCCATGTCCAAGTATGTATCTGTCTACAGTACTTGCCCAGACATTTGTCTGCAGCCCTTGTGTCTGGAATTTTTGTTAGACATTAAGCAACCCCTGTCCATGCTCTACAATAAGGAAAGTCAGAGAGGCATAAACAAACAGAAAACATAGCAGAGGGGAACCCTTAGTGTCTACTGGAAACTGGCTTGTGTGTCAAGACCTGTGTCATCTATTTTGTGGTAAGTCAAGAATCAAATTTTCCACAATAATGGAGACAGCATTGTGAAACCAGCTCACATTCAAAGCTGTAGATACACAGGGATTTCACACCACCCCTCCTTCAAGATCTCACCTTTCCCTTTGCCTTAGGTGTAACATACACTTCATGTGCCAGAAAGGGAGCAAACTGGACACTGCTCTAGGTAGTGCTTACTTCACAAAGACTCTTATTGAGCACTTTCATCTGCTGCTGGCCTGAAAAGGATGGTTATGGCTGCAGTCTGCCTTAGAGAAATATCTCAACAGTGGTCAAGATCAGCATGCTGGTCTGTTGAACATCTGGCTGTTGAACTTCATCCTGGAAGTTACTGCAGCTTGCAGTAACTGCTGAGATCCTTGCAGCACCAGCACTGTCCCCATTTTCAATCATGGGAGCTAAAGGTGTGCAATAAAAGATTGTCATGCTCACTGTCCCAAAACATACTGCAGTGAGTACAAGTGAATGAAGGTTCAGCATCTTTCAGGTTTTCAAGCACAGAGCTTGAAATATAATTACATATCTCCAAAACCATGCATGTGATTGACCAGAACTCCCACATGTAATGTTAGCAATGAAAAGACACGCTCTCACATACCCACACCCATGCTCACACTGATCTTGTTTACAGATGCCATGCGTTTGGAAGTGAGTAACATGCAGTCAACTGGGAATTCATACTGACCTGTTGATAAATTCCTCATAACATGAATAAATGGCTGCTAAGCAGACAGCTACAATATTTGGCAGGACTCTGGGATGGGGGCATTGTCCAGTTGGACCATGCATGCTGAAAAACAAAACCCAAGGTGAAATAATTGTAAGGATTTCTGTGGGCAAAAGCAGTCAGACAGAATGGGATGCCAGAACTGGATAGACTGCCTTGGGAAACTTCAGAAGGTCCATAACGGAGTTATTTTAACCCTGTAAATCCTTACCCAATGGCCTTGTTTATGAAATGTATCTCTACAGTCCCGCCCAAAATTTCACCATGACTGAGCATTATGTGATCTCAAGTTAATGGGAATCTCTTTGGAGAGGCTCTGAGTCTAAATGCATAAAAAGAATGTACACACAGCCAAGTTCATTTGCTTCCAATGTGTAACTAGGCAGAAAACACAACCCATATTTTGAGAATTAGTTTTAAAATAAAAAATAAAACAGTAAAAAAGAAACTTCAGCAATACTGCCTTATGGACTCTTCTAATTTATTTGCTGTTTGCCAGTACCAAAAAGCACCAACTACTCTTAACAACAAGAAGAGATGAGCAGGGGTGTGAGAAGTAACAGTGTCGTGGTTTAAGCCCAGCATGTAAATAGGACTGGAAATACACCATAAATTAAATGTAACTAACCTATGAATAAAATTCTTCACCACTTCCATTCCAGCATTCAGCTCATTCAAAGCCAGAATATACTCCTGAGTAAACAGCCGCAACAGAGGGCACTTCCCAAAATCCTATCCAAAAAGTAGAGACTCAGTGAAGATAGTGAAACATGGCTGCAATGGACATCAAAACTGTGGGTTTTCAAAAGAAATAAACACAACCAAATTCACTTTGTATTTGCTGACAGCTTCAAGAGCACAGTATCACTCCGTGCTGAAGTAACATTCTTCCCACTAATAATGGCATGCTTGCCAATTCTCCTCTTTCCCCTATATCCACCTTGAAACAAAAGACACGTTTAATGAAACAAAACAAAACCCCATCTGCACTTACATTTCTTTTATACACTTCACTTTACACCTTTATTTTGAAATTTTTATTGTCTTGCAAATTTGCTTACACTCATAACTCCAAGGTTTTTTTAAATGCAGCTAAAACTAATTTTTTACTTCCATCTTTTAAATTCTATCTATTCTGGATTTTGAGAAAATGTTTATGACATGCAATCAATAAGTGATCAAGTATAAAACTAGAGACCAGTTCTTTCTCCAGGGGTTTTATTCCAGCTACAATGAAAATTTGACAGGTGAGCTCACTTTCTTCAAATCCTCCAGTCAGAAAAGCACCTGCTAACTAAAATCCTGCATCTCCTCACATCACCTGATATTTTTAGATGTAAAAGTGTTCCAGCACGTTTCTTCACATTTACACAGGTGTAACCTTATTATACAGGTGTTATTGAACTACAAAGATAAATTTAAAGTGATGAACAAGGACCACTGAGGACAAATAAGCCCTCCCAGTTATCTCTCAAGCAGCTGGCTGTGGAAGAAGAGTCATCCTGAAAAAATAAATGGCAACTGAAATTTAAAGAAATGCCACAAGGGGTAACAAACTGGAGGTCTGTAAAAGGGAGGATACACTCCCAAATCACTGAAACCTTGTTATTTATTTTGGTTTCAGGCACTTCTATAGCACAACTTATATAAACATCTCAAAGGTTTTACAGCTACAGAAAATTACCAAAAATGCCTAGGCAGAACCACATCTTCAAGTCTAAGTGTCACTCTTTGCTAGCACTGAATGGCTCCCTGGTAAGTTTATCCAGCAAAGGAACTGTGAGTGATTCCACAGTTGACATTGCAATTAAAATCATCTGTCGTAGTTTAAGCCCAGCTGGTAACTGAGAACCACACAGCCACTCTCTCACTCCTCCCTCTTCTCCCCCCCTGCTCCTGGAGGGATGGGGAGGAGAATTGAAGGAATGTAAATCCCATGGGTTGAGATAAGAACACTCCAGTAACTGAGGTATAATACAAAACTACTACTACCACCACCAATAATAATAATGATAAGGGAAATAATAAGGGGAGAGAATATAAAATTAAAAGAGGAAAAGGAAAAAAAATACACAATAAACAAGTGATGCACAATGCAATTGCTTACCACCTGCTCACTGATACCCAGCCAGACCTGAGCAGCAATCTGGGCCTTCTGGGTGACTCCCCTAGTTTATATACTAGGCATGATGTACTGTGGCATGGAATAACCCTTCTGCTGGTTTGGGTCAGTTGTCCTGTCTCTGCTTCCTCCTGGCTTCCCCTCCTCCCTGGCAGAGCATGATACTGAAAAGTCCTTGATTGGAGTAAGCATTTCTTATTAACAACTAAAAACATTGGTGTGTTATCAGCATTGTTCTCAGACTAAAGCCAAAACACAACACTGCATCAGCTACTAAGGAGAAAAATAACTTACAGCTGAACCCAGGACAAACTTCTCCAAGCTAACCAAGTTCCTGTAACATGTGCACTCACCACGTTGTGTTTGAGAATCCTCTGTACCGCTGGTGTGAATACTTCTATCACAACCATGGACCGCGGGCACTCTCGGCAGTGCTGTAATAAGTAACAAGTCGTTTTGTGAGCTGCAGAAATCATGAAAAGGGATTTCCCCTGGTTTCACACCTCATGCATGGATTACTCCAAAATTAACAAGATCCAAGGGCTAAATTAATCTTTACTGGGATTAGGCTACTTTTAACGCTGCTTCTTCCTGTGTATTTGCTGGCATCTAATGGAAGATTGCCATGGGAGCTTATGAACTACATGAGTTCCTTTCTCCACAAAGCTCACTGAAATGTAGAATTTTTGAGACTTCTACCCCTTTTAAAACTTGCCAGCAGTTTTAAAAGTAAATGGGTCATCATGACTATGCAGTCCAATGCATGAAGCATATGGATCTATTTATCATAATGGTGCTGTTAACCATTTGGTTGTCGACCAAAAACTGAAATCAATTTGGGCATGAGGTAAAGCACTATAGGAAAAAAAAACAACCACCCCCTAAAAAAACTACATTCATAGACAATTGTTTCAGAAAGCAAAGCTGTTCTGATACCTTGCAGAAGAATTCACAGAGGTCAGGAGGAGGATGGTTGTTTTCCAGCAGAGGTGCAGTTGCCTTTAAAAAGAAAGAAAGAGAGAGAACAATTTAGAGGATTGCAACTGGAGTAAGCATCTTGCAGGGAAATATTTTGCTTGAGGGAAAAAAAAGCAGCTCACTTTTAAAAAGGAATGACAAAAGCACCAATAGAGAAATTAGAGATGGGCTGTGTGTTTATTTTGCATGTGTGTTTATTTTGCATGTGTGTTTATTTTGCATGTAAACTCAAGCACACCTTTGCTATGCATCCTTTGTGAAATTTTGCCTTTAACTGTATCAGTGTAATATATAACACACAACAAAAGAAGCACAATTTTTATAATGGTTCAAATAAAAACAGGAGCAGTCCAATTGTTTCAGGATGTAATACAGCAAGGATGAATCAGACTCCCTGTTTCAGTTACAACATCTCCCCAAAAGAAAAAAAAACAAAGCCACACACATCCTTACATCCTTTATGAAAGAGTTCAAGCTCTTTTTGTGAGAAATAAGTCACTACAAGTACCATAGCACTGTTCTTACCTTGGTGGACCCTATTTATCAAAATCAAGCATCTAACTTTTTGCAAGTTGAGATCAACCATTCCTTCTCTGTTGCTACACAAGCCAGTGTGCTTACGCTCAGTAAATACATTAGAGCTCATACCTGCCACTGAGGGTGTAATGAACTTATGTGGTTCTTATTTCCTTGGTAAATTAGAAAATGGAACTAGAATAATATATTCTCTCTATGTGATACTGCCTTCTGGCTTTTCAAGTCTTGAGCTAAAGGGATTCCAAGTACCCATTTAAAAATAACACTCTAAATACAGTGGCTAGGACACTGTATTAAGCAAGTGAACACCAGATATTTTATCTGAATGGCATCAGGAGTTTTACTAAGGCAGCCTGCTTTGTGTTTTTGCCCTCCCTCTTGTCTCCTTAAGTCCACCTAGTCCAACTTTCCTGTTCACAACAGGGCCACCTTGCATCTTTTATTAAAAAATCCTTCCCCCAAAACAAGTAGTTGCATCTGAGGCCTGAATTGCCCTTGGCACTAGGGTAAAATGAAAGCTGCAGCAGATCTCAAAGAGAAGTAAATATCACTTCAGAAACTTATCTCAGTGGCTGATTCTAGCTAAAATGGTATATCAAGCAGCAGTCACACCTACTGGCAGCTACATGCCACCTTGTCATTTTGCAGAAAGTGTCACAGGGATGTGATAAGATCAGGTGGTGGTGAGATTCTATATTAGATTACTGGGTAAATCTGGAAATTGCCAGTGACTGAAATTAAATTACAGTGATGGGGAACCAAGTTCCACCTTTTTGATAAATTGTTGAGACTTTATATTTTGTTGCACAAAGAGATGCCATTTGATTCACTTATTTCTATGTCTAAATAAATGCAAACTAAAGAAAAAAGTTGAGGAAGATATGTTTATAAATCAAGTAAGCAGGGGGTTAAACTGCAGTGACACATACACATAGCCACACTTACAAAAACAATCATTTGCTCACATACCATCAGCAATGGAGACATTCTGTATATGGTAGCATTAGCCCCTCAGAAAACTACTAAGCCTAAGGGTTTTATAGGGCAAGTCTGGAGATTATGTTTTTTGACTATTTCAGGTACATATATAGATGTGAACATTGCACTGTGTAGCCTAGTAAGGAGGCCATTAACCCTCAACATGCTGTTCTTGACAAGGAAATGTTATTGTTACTCATCTATGAAACAAGAAAAGAGAAATGACAAAACCACACAAATCCCAGTAGAACAAATAATGAGTGCAATCCTGCTTAAGTTCACCAGCATTGGTGGAAACATTTTCATATTTGCCTGCTTCACTGGGGCAGAGGCAAGCATTAACAGAAGCATTAACAAACAATACAGATTTGTCCTTGGATTTTGTCAGAAAGATACTCACCACAATAATGTTCTCATGGTCTTGAGAGGTTAAGTTGTTCTGAAAGAATTGAAGAAATGACTGAGCAAAGAGTACTCTCGGTTGGCACATCAGCAGACACAGTCCTCTTGGCTACCACCAGATGCAAGCAGAAAAGCTCAAGACTGCAACTTCTTATTTTCATAATAAAAATCATTGCCTTGAAATCATTCTCTTAAAGAAGGTGGTATACTCTCTGATATGAGGCCTTGTGCAAGCTTCCATTTATCCTTCAGCACACTGAGATCCAAGTCACCCCAGCCATGAAAGCTGAGTGTACAAACACCAGGATGCCAGAGTAGGTCTCAATCATTTGGAAAACTGAAGCCATCAATACATTTCTCAAAAATGTTTTCTTACAACAGGCTGTATTTTTTTGTGTGTTTTATTTTTTGTGTGGTTTTTTTGTTTGTTTCTACAAAAATTAATAATAGGATTGTTGTGTTGCATACTACTTGTTGGCAAACTAACTGCTGCAGTTTTTCTGAAATTCCTTCTTCAATCATAGAACCAGTGAAAGCCAATAAATTTACTGGAAGTCACCTATGCTACCACCTGAGTAAAAGAGATTGCTTTTGGCTTTCTCAACAGCATGATCCATTCAGAGAGTTGTGAGTTGATAAGATCTTTGCCTACTGCAAGAAAAGCAGCTAGCAGCATTTTTGCTATCACAAATCTTTGTACATCAGAACTGACATGAAAAACCTGCTTGGCATTACATTTCCTGTCCATGAAAAGTTAATTATTTAAAATAGATGCTATAAAAGGAGGATAGATACCACTGAACCTCTGAAGAATAATTTATTTTTTTTTTACAGAACTGGTAACAATAAATAGCTGCATAATAAATTTATTGGTATATACATTATTGTTACAAGAATTATCAGTCATGGAAAAAAACATAATGGAAGTCCAAGGGAGGTTTGTCACTGATTTGAAATAAGACCTGAATCAGACCCATGATAAATTTATCACAAACAATCAACAAAAACAAACAAAAAGCCTCAAGAGAAATGTGTTTTGTTTTGTTTCTAGAAATCTACCTATTAAGTGTCAAATTCTCCTTCTCCCCAGCAATTACAAATTCCACTCAAGTCAGCAGAAGTCAGAAGCAGACTCAAAGGCAGAATTTTGAAAGCCCAAGTTAAAACAAAATCCACAACAAACTTTTAATTGTTTGTCTCTCATCTAAATGGACAGTGTCTTGCAGGAGCACTACTGAGGTCATACCTCTGAGAACAGCTTTGAGACAATCTCCAGTGGTGCTTGGTGAATGGAGTCATCCTGAAGTGGAGATGTCAGCGCCATGTCCACCAGTGACCTGATCTCCTTCAACACCACCTCCCAGCGGCTGGGGTTACTGAGCACCTTCTTGTACTTGTAAATCTTCTTCTGAAAGAAAAATGAAAGGATCATGCTGACACCACCATGAACCGCTTGAAACAAGCGAGTGAATATGTGCTTCCAACATGCAACTGCCAAGTGGGCTGCTTTGTATTTTGAGTTTTGCTTTTCTGTTTGCTGAAAAGCTGTACCTGAAACATTTAACTGTGTCCTAGGTTCAGCAGTAACATTAATTTTTCTCCTTCTTAGTAGCTGGTGCAGTGATGTGGTTTTGACTCCCATCCTGAGAACAACACTGGTAACACTAACGTTTTCAGTTGTTGCTAAGTAATGTTTACTCTGACCAAGGACTTTCTGAGTCTCATGCTCTGCCAAGGAGGAGGGGAAGCCGGGAAGAAGCAGAGACAGGATACCTGACCCAAACTAACCAAAGGGATATTCTATACCACAGCATGTCATGCCCAGTAAATAAGCTGGGGCAGTTACCCGGGAGGGCTAGATCACTGCTCGGGTCAGGCTGGGTATTGGTCGGTGGGTGGTGAGCTGTTGTATTCTCTTCCCTTGTTATTTCCCTTATCATTATTATTACTGGTGGTAGCAGTAGTGGATTTGTGTTATGACTTAGTTACTGGACTGTTCTTATCTCAACCTGTGGGAGTTACGTTCTTTCAGTTCTCCTCCCCATCCCTCCACAAGTGGGGGGAGGAAGAAGGGAGAGGGGGAGAGTGAGAACAGCTGCATGGTTCTGAGTTACCGGCTGGGCTTAAACCGTGACAGTTTTTTGTGGCGCCCAATGTGGGGCATGAAGGATTGAGATAAAGACAGATCTGACCGGAGTGTGTCTAATCGTATTTGTGGTAAACTTTCATTGTTTCAGGTTAATAGTCACTCGTCACAATGCTGATTTATTGGCTCTCAAAGTTGTTGCTCTTGATATCAGTTTCAGCATGTCGTACCTTACTTACAGCCTGTATTTGCTGGTTTTGTGTTTATTGGCTGGGAGACTTGGGCTAAGGTTCTTTTTTCACTGTACTTTGTGGTAATTACTTGTAATACAAAAGACTTGTTGAACATGAAACTGATCTGGCTTGCATTCCCAGTGTGGTCATCACCTCTATACTTTGGGAGGCATATAATGGAAGTATTTAGCAATTACACATTTTTTTCTCCTCCTTGGGTAGTTAACCTATGAAGGAGACATTCCCTTACATTTCCAGCTCCCCCACCAGACTATTTACAGCATCATTTGAGAGTTCTGAAGGTTTTGAATGCCTTTGGGTACCCTTGAGATTACTTGTTTACTCTGATCAAGGCCTTTCTGAGTCTCATGCTCTACCAGGGAGGAGGGGAAGCTGGGAGGAAGCAGAGACAGGACACCTGACCCAAAATAGCCAAAGGGGTATTCCATACCACAGCACATCATGCCCAGTATGTAAACTGTGGGCAGTTACCCAGAAGGGCTAGATCGACAAAATAGAAACCATGACAAAATGGAAAAGAATACCTCATACGTCTATACCATTTTCTTCTGTGGAAGCAATAAAAACCTGATTTCCTTTTTTTCACTTCAAATTTAAAACTCCAGAGCATCTTTCTTTCCACCATTTCCTCTTGCAAGCACCTTATTCTCGTGCTAATAAGAGGTGCCTGTTATTACAGAGGGAGAGGCCATCAAAGCATCATTCTATAGACACTGTATTCTACACTGCTAATTGATGAATTCACATTCATAATTAATTAAAATCAATAGCATCGAAGTGCAAAATCCCAGTAAACACACAGGCTTCTTTTTCTGTCTTGAAAGATCCTGAAAAGTCACACTGTCATCTTCTAGTTGTAACAGAAACTATCTTATAAAGTATCCAAGAATTCCATGCAACAGCATTTCTACTGTTTTCTACTACACTAGAAAATGGAAGCAAGGACAGGAGGCCTGGGAAGAGTACAGGGATGTTGTCCAGGAAGCTAGGGACCACGTTAGGAAAGCTAAGGACCAGTTAGAATTAAACTTGGCTAGGGATATTAAGGATAACAGGAAGGGATTCTACAGGTACATAGCAAATAAAAAAAACAGATTAGGAAGAACGTAGGCCCCCTCAGGAAGCTCTCGGGTGAACTAGCTACACAGGATTTGGAGAAGGCTGAGGTTCTGAATGACTTCTTTACCTCAGTCTTCACTGGCAAAGGCTCTGCCCACACCACACAAGTCTTGGAAGGCACACGCAGGGACTGTGAGAATGAAGACCTTGGGACCACTGTAGGAGAGGAATTGGTTCGAGACTACCTTAAAAATCTGAACGTGCACAAGTCCATAGGTCCTGATGAAATCCATCCGCGGGTCCTGAAGGAGCTGGCAAATGAAGTTGCTAAGCCACTGGCCATCATATTTGAAAGATCATGGCAGTCAGGTGATGTTCCCAACGACTGGAAAAAGGGAAATATAACCCCCATTTTCAAGAAAGGGAAAATGGATAACCTGGGCAATTACAGGCCAGTCAGTCTCACCTCTGTGCCTGGCAAAATCTTGGAGCAGATTCTCCTGGAAGGCATGCTAAGGCACATGAAAAACAACAAGGTGCTTGGTGACAGCCAGCATGGCTTCATTAAGGGCAAATCCTGCTTGACTAATTTGGTGGCCTTCTAAGATGGGGCTACAGAACTGATGTACAGTGGTAGAGCAGCTGATATCATCTACCTGGATTTGTGTAAAGCGTTCGCCACTGTCCCACACGACATTCTTGTCTCTAAATTGGAGAGACATCAACTTGATGGATGGACCACTCGGTGGATAAAGAACTGGCTGGATGGCCGCACACAAAGAGTTGTGGTCAATGGCTCAGTGTCCAGATGGAGACCAGTAACGAGTGGTGTCCCTCAGGGATCAGTGTTGGGACTGGTCTTGTTTAACATCTTCATCGCTGACATGGACAGTGGGATTGAGTGTGCCCTCAGCAAGTTTGCTGATGACACCAAGCTGTGTGGTTCGGTTGATACGCTGGAGGGAAGGAATGTCATCCAGAGGGACCTTGACACGGTTGTGAGGTGGGCTGATGCCAACCTCATAAAGTTTAACCATGCCAAGTGCAAGATCCTACACCTGGGTCAGAGCAATCCCAGACACAGCTACATGCTGGGCAGAGAAGAGATTCAGAGCAGCCCTGCAGAGAAAGACTTGGGGGTGCTGGTCGATGGGAAAATGAACATGAGCCGGCTTCATTGTGCGCTTGCAGCCCAGAAAGCCAACCGTATCCTGGGCTGCATCAAAAGGAGTGTGACCAGCAGGTTGAAGGAGGTTATCCTGCCCCTTTATTCTGCTGTCGTGAGACCTAACTTGGAGTATTGTGTACAGTTCTGGTGTCCTCACCATAAAAAGGACATGCAACTGTTGGATCAAGTCCAGAGCCACGAGAATGATCAGGGGACTGGAGCACCTCCCATATGAAGATAGGCTGAGAAAGTTGGGGCTGTTCAGCCTAGAGAAGAGAAGGCTGATGGAGACCTCATAGCAGCCTTCCAGTATTTGAAGGGGGCCTATAGGGATGCTGGGGAGGAGCTCTTCATTAGGGACTGTAGTGATAGGACAAGGGGTAACAGGTTAAAATTTAAACAGGGGAAGTTTAGATTGGATATAAGGAGGAAGTTCTTTCCTGTTAGGGTGGTGCGGCACTGAAATGGGTTGCCCAGGGAGGTCGTGAATGCTCCATTCCTGGCAGTGTTCAAGGCCAGAATGGACGAGGCCTTGGGTGATATGGTTTAGAGCGAGGTGTCCCTGCCCATGGCAGGGGGGTTGGAAGTTGATGATCTTAAGGTCCTTTCCAACCCTAACTATTCTATGATTCTATGCTTCTACTCTCAAGAGAAGCATTCCTGTATGCCTAATCCCATATGTTCCAGTTATCTGCATGCCCCTGCATTACATACGGACATGGCCAAAGCTATTTAACCAATTGCCCCATCCACAGACCATCAGAAGACAATTCTTACCTCCTCAGCAGCCATGTTGCCACAAATGACTGGAGCAGAGGCTGCTTTGTATTATAAATAATATTCTTTAGAGAAAACCCACCCTCCCAAATCCCCAGAGGTGGCTTGATGCAACTCTGTAAGTTCATGGAAACAATGACGAGCATTAGAAGGCCTCTCCCAAAAAGAGTCCAACAGGTGCACTGGAACCAGAAGAGGCTTGCTAAGGCAAGCAGCACTGGAGCAGCACTGGATATAGCTCTTGGACCCAGAGCTAGCAGTGAAGGAGCTCTGCTGCCCGAGGAGAGTGACTGCCAGGACCACAGCACTTCGTTCGGTTCATATGCTGTGTGTGAATCTGGTCCTCTGGTCAAAGGGATGTCATGAAGTTTTGATAGATATTCAGGTTTATTAAATAACACAGGCTGGCACTTCTTATTTTTCTTTAAAACATCAGCGTTTTGCACTTAAAAAATGGATCTTACTTTCCTAGGCAGCATTTCCAGGAGAACTGCCCATGTCGTGAAGCTTGCAGATTCAGCTGCACATTTTGGGCTTTCATTTGCCAGTGTAATAAAGGCAGATAACTTTGCAAAGAGTCAGCATGCTCTACTTTGTTTCGGAGCTTTGCTGCTATATGGCATTTCCTCCTTCATTTGCACAGGGCAGCCCCTGCAGGAACCATCTGAACAGGCTGGCTCTTTGCTTATCATCTGCTTCTTTCCCACTGTGGCAGCATATTTAATGCTCAACAGAAAACACAGTCACCTCTATACCCTATCTGAAACACAAGAGAAGAGAACAATACAGAAAAATAAAGATTTCAGATGCCTTGGGTTTGTCAATGTTGTTAGAGGGGGGGAGAAGAGGGTGGCACTGGGCTGACATGTAAAAGGCTGATAAAACAATTCAATTATCTTTTAAATTAAATTCATGCAAGAACAAAAGCACACTGGCAAGTAGTTTACACTTTCAGTACATTTTAAGCTACTGTAATGCTAAAGGATCATAAAAACACATACTGCAGACATTATCAAATATGTTTGGAATTTCAGAACTGAGCAAATGCCACCAGCATTACTTCT